GTGCGTTAGCGTTACATCTAGAAATAAAATAAAAAAATCCATAAACATAAAGTAAGTGATTGAATCGTTTTTTATGAAGTTTAAATATTTTCTTCTTCGTCGTCCTCATATAAATCAGGAACATTATTTTGACAACTTTTGCAGAAACAATCGCTGCAGCATGTTAAACCTCTTTCAAGCAGACGCATTTATTATTTTGACATAATTTATCTTCGCAGAAGATATTCATTAGTTGCCTTATATCCGTTGGTATGGGGTCAGCAGTCATCAAAACAGGCTCAAGCATTCCATTATTCCTAGTCCAACCAAAGTTAACAGGGTCAAGTATAGGCATGATAGGTATATGACTTTTCATCCATATACGCAGTTGATATAATATGCACCTGAAATTTTGGTTATCACATAAATACAGCTTCTTTTGTTATATAAGTACACCTAGCTCAGTACATGCTGGTAAAATGCATTATCTGTAGGTGGAAGTTCTGGAGCGGACTTATTGGAAGTTGTAGTCAATTGATACCTCAATTCATCGAGGGTTTTTATATAGCCTCGTTCTTATTTCTGAATAGGGCCAATGCAAATTTGGTGGCAATATAAACAGCTTCGCTTGCAGACACAGAGTTCAGTTTCGATAACTCATTGAAGGCTCCAAGATTTTAAGAAAATACATTTTTTGCCGATCTTAAACATTGCATTTGTGGTATCGCATCCTGTTGACACATGCAACGCTGGTAAACATTTACAAACTTCATTTTCCAGTTTCTGCACTATTTATTGGAATCATCCGTTTTTCATTCCCTAATCCTAATTCCATAAAAAGGTAGATTTCTTCCAAAGAACTTAATGCATTAAATTCAGAATAGTGGTTAATAAGTAATACCAGAACATTTGTATCTACAGACTTCACCAACACTTTTTTTTTTGGTGAAGTATCTGATATTCATATAAGACGTGGATGATTGGTCGTGCATCAGCCTCATCATGATTCGATTTCAAATCTTTCAATCCGGTTACACGGTTACACAATCCTTGTTGACAGAAAAGCATAACTCTGGATTTTCAAAACCTCCATCGATGATCAGAGTTTCTTCTATTTGTCAGTTAAATGTTCCAAAATATAACCAGTTACAAATTTCAATAGGGATTCTTTATTTTCTGACAATTTTTAAAAATTTCGAAACTACATCATTTTTCTTTTTCCAGAAACTTCATATGCATAAGCATCTGCGAAATTACTTCTTCTGCGTCTTTCCAAAGACTTCACCGATTCATCTATTAAAAACCACCGTTATCCTCAGTGCTTCATACCTTCGACCAAGTGAAAGAATTTGCTTCAGAAAGAAAAATAGATGCGAGTTCATTAAAAGTTAGGTTGACAATGGTTTATTATTTAGTCCTTGAATAAGTACCATGCCATCTATTATAAGTGAATTGAAGGAGGTGTGACCGAAAAATGAAGTTTTAGTGCGAAAAAATCTAAGAACAAATATTTGAACCGCATATCTTGCTACGATGAACCGTTTTCGAGTAAGGCTGGTTTAAAGTGGCAAACGCCTAGGCGCTGACGTCACGCCGGCTTCGGAGGCACAGTTAAAATATGTATAAAATGTTCCAAGACGCAAGTCAACAATCTCACTTAAAGCAAATTGCAACCACTTAAAGTATAGGGCACGGTTCAACCACTGAACAAACAGAAGGCTATGATTTCGGCAGTTAGCCGGTGTGACGTCACAAGTTCCCGCAAAATTTATCTTCATGAAGAATTTTCTCGGATAGTATTTTGAATAAAAGACTGCGGTTTTCACGAGAGATCTTAGATTTTTTTTCTTGATTTAAGTAGCTTAAGTTGCTTTTTTTGGTCACACCCACTTTAAGATCAGTTCGCGGAGAAGCAACTGTTGAATATGGTTCAAACTTTGATACTTAATCAGACTTAAGCTGTTTTGCGCATACGAACGCACAAAACTGGAAAAGTCAGAAATTGCACCTCTCGGTGAATGCACGAACAATTCCGTCGCGACGTGGTTCACGATGGGCTGAGCGCACTCCAGGGCTCTTGGATAAAAATTTATATTTCTATAACCGTTTAAGTTAGCGCCTTAATTTTTTTTTTTAAAACTTCCTCAATGTTTTTACTCGTGTTTTTACTACATTTGATTCGATATAGATGTATAGAAATTTTCAATAATTCACATCGCTCGCCGCAGGGTGAAGTTTCAGATGCACGATTTTGATAATTCTATATTCCTAACTTTTTAACAAAAAAACCTTGAACCTTTTCGAAATTTCTGAACTGTCATTAGAAGCGCTCATGTTTCAAGTATAAGTGTGCAAAAAATCAAAATTTTATATTGTATGCTTAAATTAATACAGCGGGTAATGTTTAGAAAAATGTAGTTTTTCAAATTCGAGCTTAGTCACGTTTAAGGGCCGATTTCAAAGTTCAGTCCTATTAATAAAAAAAGTTGTACATTCCCATTTCCTATGCCCCAAAGTGTCCTCTACAAGATGATATAGATTTCATCTGGTTATACCTCGGAATCACCCACCCTCAGAAAACAGCGAGTTAGAGCAGTGATTTTACTCCACTAATAATAAAACAAAAATATAATAGTTATAGAAATAGGAGCAGCCGCGGCAGCACCTGCATTGGCATGAAGCCTATCATCAATTTAGTGGTAGGTGTTCCATAAAAAAAAAACATGAAATTGATATCATTTTGTAGAGAAACTTCATATTAGCCAATCCATGATAACCGGTCTGCTATGCTTAAAGACTGCATTCCTGCTGTTCCCGCGGATCCTGTAGAAAAACAACAAAAAATATGATCAAGGGCATTAATTAATGTATTCAGGAAAACCGCCTACCTGAAAGGCTTTAGCGCTCAGTTCTCTTAAGAGCTCTTCCCTCGTTTTTAACGTTGCGGCTAGCCGTGAACGGTCCATGGCAAATATTGCATAGTTGCATCCAGCGCAAATACCTCTGCCGCAGGGACAGCTCACAATGCGCTCCATCCGCACGGACAGATAACAGTATATTAGCATTATGCTAAAATGAAAATATAAGGTTTTACACTCATTTTGATGATTTTCTCTTGTTATTTCTATGAAAAAACGCACTTCTAGAACAAATTGGAATCATTCTAAAATATCGAAAATAATTCATTATTGAAGGGCGTTTATAGTGTGAAAATGTATAGAAAAGGAAGGGGGCGTTTCAGTAACTCTCTCCTACCAAGCTACCTAATAAATATCTACCCCAATACTGAAAACCGAGAGTCTAATAATCTGTACCTGTAATCCTTTGAGTGGGTTTAAGGAATATACATATATACCTAGCACCTACACAATAGAACCATAGGTATTGTCTGTCGTTTTTAATCTGACACTTTCCGTATGAGGAGCGAGGGGCTGAAGTATATAGGAAAAACCGGTGTGACGTCAGGTGACCTTTGGCGTTCCAATGTAGGGTGCCACCAGCTCACATTCCTTTCGAGTATCAGATTAAAATCGACGGACTTAAGATATTTTATGGTAGGCTTTTAAGGCCGAAAATTCAACGAAATAATCTGGAACAGACAATACCAATGAAAATCATACAGCATTGTAATTTCGAGCGCTCGTTGACAGCCAATAGGTGCTTGAAAATTACCGAAAATTCTAAAATGTATGTTTTGATGTTCTACAGTAGAGATAACTGGGTTGCTGGGTCTGAAAGGGCCAGGTAAAGAAGGTTGGCAGAGCATTTGAGAAATTAATGAACAGAAAGAGTAGATACGTGAATTATATTTTTTTAATTTTCTACTTTTATTGTTAGATGTAAATGTTAAATACAATGTACGTTCACTTTCACCAAAAAAGTGATGAATAACTTTTTGCCAGAAGAAAAATAAAATAAATAAATGTTATCGTGAAATAAATTCATTGATATGCCCTATAGTTTCCGCGCCTACTATTTTCACCGAAAGCCAAGTGAACATCGCCCCTGCATTTAAAAATATCAACGAAATAGGCCTCCAAAATAACACAACAAAGTTACAATGTTGAGGCTGGCACTTACCTTTCCATGTTGTTCATCGTTTTTCGATTTGGGATGAAATCACTGCACAAAAAAATCAAACAAAATAATGGCAGGTTAAGTGTCGACATCTCGGTGTCGACTATAAGAGTAACTTGAGCTAACTAACCTGTGTTGGGGCTATTTTTCACCAAAGATTTGCCATTAGCACTAGAGGGAAGATTCTACCTGCCAAGGTACTTAGCAACAAAGCAAATGTCCACCTGCTAATTGGGTGGTCGATCTCTATACAGGGTGTCTCAAATTCGACTCTCATCATTGGTATTTCGGAAACCGTAAAAGATACAGGGTCGGTTAAATTATGGCAAAGCTGCGCATTTTCATGCTTAACAAAATGCCAATTGAAAATATCAGAAACTCCTAACACGGGAAATATCCGGAAAATTCCAAAAATATCGATTCTGGTTTCTTAAATTATTAGTATAATTTTTAAATACAATTTCAAGTTTTAATCCACATTAGAAGGCATGAAATAATGTTTACTTAGTTGATTAAGGGAAAACTAGTCTGCTCATAAAAAAAATGCTTTATAATTGGAAAGGTTCCGATTTTCCATCGTGCTTTAATCCAGTAGGTCACGCTCTTTGCGCTCAACCACCCCTCTTCTGCTCTGTTATCTTTTTAGAGAGATTCAAAAAACTCTGTAGCAAGAAAATACAAAATACAAGATGTAGTATTAATATAAAATTCGTATTCCTTAAAAAATTCAAAGTCACTCTCCAGTCAATTAAGGAATGCCTTTGGTATAATCTCCTTCATTTATCATCGAAACGCTTTTTGTAGGCTTTGACATCCTGTATAACGGAAACGCAGCACTCAATACCCAGTATATTATTTTGTTTTGGATCAAGAAACGTTTTAATTGTATACATAGGTCTAAGTACGTACCTAATACAATAGTTAACTGTTATTTTCTCTTCTAGAACATGGAGAAACCCGAGGAAAAGCCCAAAGTCAACATCAGTGAAAAAATTCAACAAACAATAAGGGAAAGAGAACGACTCCAGCAAGAATTGCAAGCTATAATAGCGTCAGGTATTCGAGGACCAATAGATTCCGTCACACCCATTCCCGTAACGCACAACTTAATCCCAGAATCAGTGAATAAAGTGCAAATCATCAAAAGCTACGATCCAAAACATTCCGAACGCGTCAAGGAACCTCCAGTTTCTCCAACTAAAAAATCCAAAACATATAATGTTGAGCATGCCAGAGGATACATAAAAAAACAAAAAGATAAACGAATGGAGGAGCTGAGAAATCGAAAAGTTGATACAAAGCTAGCTGCCCAATTGAGAAAAGAAAAACTTGAAGAACTAAGACAAAAAGCAAGTGAGATTGTAAAAAAAAATGTTGAAACAAAACGAGCAAGATCGAAATCTAGAGAAGCGCCAATAGTCAGATCTTTATCTGGAAACAGAACACAAAGGTCACTTTCGCGAGATAATGGAGGTAGTGAAAGCCGCCTGGATCCTAATTTATTGTGCCCACCCGATCCTGTCTATGGACTTAGAAAGATAGAGCCCAAAAATGGAAAGGAAAATCATGAAAAAATTAACAAGCCCCCAGCTCTAACAAAAGTGACTATTCCCATAGATGCAGAATTATCCAAAGAAAAAATAGTCATTCATAGCTCTAATCGTGCAAGCAGAAGTCGCCTAATGGAACCTGGAAAAAAACCCAATTTATTGTGTCCTCCTAATCCTGTTTCCTCAGAGATTCAAAGTATTGTAGCTCCCAATGTAAAGGAAAATGAGAGAAATAATGAAATGCCACCTCCAGAAGTGCCAACCATGGCTGGTAAAAATGTCTCCGAATCACTTCAACCATTAGAAACCTCCGCATCAATCAAAAAATCATTCCAGTCTCAGTCCAAATCTGACTCTAGAAATAAAAATCTTGAGATTATATCAAATATTACTTTAAGGCGTTCCAATGATAATCTTTCACTTCTGCCAGAGCTAACACCACAATGGCTTCAGACACAACCTCCATCAAGTGATCCATATAATTTCATAAACACAGTGAAAAGACATTTAAAATATGCAGTCGAAGAACAGAAACCGAATTTTGTCGATGTCGGAGTGCAAGGCGATCTTGATTCGTCAAAAAGTAGTAAAAAATCGGACTTAAAGTCATTCTTATCTCATAGGTTACGCAAAGGTGGTCCTACCATAACGCAACCATCAACAAGCGATTCAGATACTTCCAAAAACATTCCCAGCATCTCTAGTGAGAGTGGAACGTCTCTGCGAAAAAATGCCGAGTTTTTACGACAATCATATGTAATTTCTGATCTTAAGCCACTGACAGATGCCCCTCCTAACCTTGATGCTAAGAAAATTGAAGATGTTAGACTTAATGATGGTGTTAATAAAGTAAGGAAGCATTTATTCAAAGACTTCATTGAAGTCAGTCCTTCTGGGAAGCGCGATTCCTTTATATCTGGAAATTGTGCTAAGAAATCTCCAAATAGAATTCCACTCGTTACGCCCATGGAATCTGATGCAAAATCCTCCACAAACTCTGAATTAAATAAAGCTCTACAGGAATCACAACCTATATCAGAAGTGTTAAGTACAAATTCTGAAAATATAACATGTAATGAAGGATCTGTTAAAATCATTTATGGAAATTGTTCCAAAAAGTTTCGCAGTGGGATTTGTAAACCTAAATCAACGGAATTGAAGCAGAAAATTGCTTTTTCGTTAGGCCAAGACAGCTCTAGTGGTATAGAAAGTTCTCAAAAATATACATCTCTATTTTCTACTTTACGTCCGTCAACAGAAGATTCACATTCCAAGAAAAAAATTCAGTCTCTCAGTAAAAGTAGTGGAACGGCTGAAGCTTACACTAAATTTTCTAATGATTTGTCGTTGAATAGAAAAACCCATAGAAGGTCTATAGAAACGCAGTCACATAAAAATACTTCGTCTGAATCGTTGGATACTATTAAAAGTTCTCTAGAGACTTCAATAAATCAGGAGCTTTTGTCCGATGTTACAGCGAGAAGAAGTATTACCATTAGGGAGAGGTATCAAGAAGAGTCGGAAAAACAGAGAAATTCTTCGTTTGAATCATTCACTAATAATATTATAAGTGACTTGCAGAACAGTGCCACGGAGCTAGTTTCAGGTAGTTCACAGAGCATACATTCAGAAATTGAAAATCCACATAGCTCCAACAAATTAGAAAGTAGCCTAGGTATACAAAAACGATCAAGCTCTAAACATTCACAAGATTTATTTAAAACCAAATCTGAAAATCTGATTCCCAAAAATACATTAAAGTCTAGAAATCTGTTGTCAAAATCAGAAACGAACATTTACGATCATAAAGAAACGGCGAATCTTCCAAAGTTGTCATTAAATATAGGAATAGGAAAGACCAACAGAAAAGTTGATAATATCGTGAACCTGAAAAATATCACTATTAGATCTGGAGATCGAAATTGTGATAAATTTGTAAGTAATTTAAATTCTGTAATGAACTATTTTGCCAAATACTTAGAATTTTTTTTTTTTAGAATTCTGCTCATGAGATTCATTTGAAATTTGAAGCAGAAATTGACTTGCTAACTGATTTTAATCAAACAATAAGACGTTTCTCGGAAATTGAAAAAACGTTTGAATCTCTGCGGATCGAAAAAAACAACACGGAAATGGTGACGAAAGTGCTACAAAACCGAGACACTCAGACATCTATTGCCTCTGCATCAGCATCAAAAAATACTCCAAGTAAGATCTTGCATATAGATTAAGTAAACTTTGTTCACCATTTTCTAGGAATAATGCAGAAGCTAGCTTATTTGCTGCATGCACGTCACGTGACGTCACTGTATTATTTTATTTTAAGTTTGTCTGTGACCTCATTTTACTTTCCCTCTTACTCTTTTGCGTGCAATATGATTTAAATCTTTATTATACAATTCCACCTTCCTTTTTGATGAAAGTCAAAGAGATTCAAGAAAATTATATTTTCTGTTTGACATTTGAAAAGACTTTTCCGGGGAAAATACAAAAGTTTAATCAAAGCTCCATACGAACTGCCAATAACTCATACGAAGAGTTTCTTTTGATTCTGGTCACAGCCAGCCAGATAACACAATGATCGAATGCTGTGCTAATTGCATACCAGTTTCGAGCCTATTCGCTATCTTGAGTGGTCATTAGAGATGCAACGTGAAAAAAAACAATCCGTTTTTTTTGTTTTTTTTCAAGTTTTTTTTCATGGTTTTTTTTCAAATGGTTTTTTTTCAGATTTTGTGTTTTTTTTCTAAACTTAGCACCATATGCGCATTTTTTACTTTTTTTGCCAATTAAACTTTTCTTGGGACAAAAAATTGGTTTAAGCAGTGAAATATCGATAAAACGTAAAATATTGTCTTATTCTATATAGAAATAACATAGGAACAATATTGGGTCTGTTTCTGCAGAAATCACAAACCAGTCAGAGCGAATTTCATTGGTTGAAAACAGTCATAAACAGTCAGAAAACTAATTTCAACCAATGAAATTCACTCTGACTGGTTTGTGATTTCTGCAGAAACAGACCTATTTTTATGTAAATGAAACATGTTTTCAGGTCAGGTACATGGTACATCCATGTATGAACTATCATATTATATCAGATCATACAATCATCATATTTATACAACATACATACTAGAACAGAACATCACTGATATAAGACACTTTCGCTGTATGAAGAATTTTCAGACTGTAACTACTATGTCTCCAGGGTCGTCAAATGTCAATTTTTTTTTACTTAAAGATGAGGTTGGAGATACTCACGAAGTTTGAAATTGAATTATTTTGAAAAAAAAAAACACAAAAACTTGTTTTTTTTTCATGTTTTTTTTTCAAATCTGAAAAAAACCTGCTTTTTTACATTTGAATCATTTAGAAAAAAAACAAAAAAAACGTTTTTTTTCTGGTTTTTTTTCAATGTTTTTTTTCAAATCTGAAAAAAAACCGTTTTTTTACATCTCTAGTGGTCATATAGTAGTCAATGGGTATATCAAATTAAAAAGTACTTTGTTGTCCAGAAAAAAAAATTACAATTCCCATTGACAAAGCATGACTATACACTAAAACTCAATAGGTATCTATATTGGGTATCTATATAAAGCAAATAAAAATCTATAAAATAAAAATTTAATAAACAGGACAAAGGTATTTAAGTCGAGCTGGTTGAAGTAGATGGATAAAACAAACAAAAAATAATAATGCACTGTAGTTCTCCTACAGTTCACAAAGTTAGTCATAATTAAAACCAAAGAGAACAAATGCAGGCAACCGTCTAGACTAAGGGGTCATCATGAAGCTATAGTAGGCTTTCTCGAAGTTTTTTTTAGGTAGTTCCAAACCCTTCCCTTTGCTATCTTTTCGATGACGTCCAGATAATGTAGAAAGCAGGTAAATGGGTCTAAAATTACTGGGCTCGTTCAACTCTCCCCACTTGTGCAGTGGCATTACCAAACCTTTACATGAACGGTAGACTCCCCTATTCTAGGAATCATTTATGGTTTCTTAAAGAGCTTCAAAGGCATTGCCGGAAGTTTGGACAGCAACTCAGCTGACAGTGCATTCACACGGAAGACTTTCGATTCAGGATGTCTTTCAGTGCCTGTACGACTTTGAAAATGTGAGTGGGGAAATAGTTTTTTAAGTATTAAGGGCGGTAAGTGTCATTTAGCGCACGAGAGTGTTTGAAGACCGACGCGACAGCGGAGGTCTTCAATATTCGAGGATGATTAACGACACTTAATGCCCAAGATATACCATTCATTTGCCATTGTTTTCAAAAATAAACAGTCTTCCCTTTTATATAAAGGCGCATTTCCACTGGAAAATTGGCAACTTCTATATTGCCAAAATTCCAAATAAATTTAATCTTCGGTTAAATTCAAAGTTGGTGTCAAATGATAGTTTATGAAAATCTAAGATTGGAACGTAAAATCGGTTTTCCTCTAAAATTAACCGTTTAGGTTTTACAGCCTGTCAAAGATGCAAAAAGTCAATTTTAACTGTCAATGTTTTCAAAACAGTTGAACTCTTAAGTAAAGGGGATATCACATGAAATCTGCTCAGAGTTTTACGTAGAATTCAAATATGCAATCACTTACAGGGTGTCTCATTTAAAATAGGAAAGTTGAAGTCTATTTCCGGTATAACCGGAAAAGCCACCATCTTGAAAATATTTTAGCCGGGTTTCCTCCATTGACTTAAGTATACTGTCAATTCAAAAATTTTCTGCATACAGTTTTTCATATACAGGGTGTCCCCGTTCAACTGGTTATTAAAAATGCTAGGGTATATAGAGGAACCATAGAGAAGTAGTTCGAGATAAGTCGGATGGTCGGAAGTGCGTCGTTTTCAAAATACAGGGTGTGGAAATTTAAACAACATCCTTTCATATCATCTGGAGGGCTATTGCTAGACTGTTCAAATTTCCAGGGATTATTGATGTAAAAATGATATTTGAAAATTCGTATAATGCACCTTCATTTTCAATCTAGAACCACCACAAAAAAAATAATAAAAATTTAAACACATCGCTTATTTTTTTTTTTTTTGAATTTTTCTATCCCTGAAAATTTGAACAGCCTAGCATTAGCCCTTCAAATGATAACGGGTCTTCAAAAAAAAAAGCCAACCAAGAGTGCTTTGAATACGAAAACGTACATACGTCGTATTATTGTTTCTTTATTGGTCAGGATTTTTGACATAGCATTTTGACATTAAAGTTCATTGACAAAATTAAACAAAAATATTGCTAAGATATTCCTTTAAAACAACCATAGCAATCTTTGATTGTTTTTTTTTTTGAAGACTCGATATGAAAGGAGGTTGTTTAAATTTCAACACTTTTTCCCTCTACACGATATTGTTCCTAAATTTGAAATGCGACGTTTCATCAACTTTATTTTTGAAAAACAGACCTCTATCGCTTATTTTATTTTTTGGAGCCCATTTCACACATTTAAGAGTTGACTTATCATACCCATCGATAAATTATAATTTTCCAGAAAAATATCGCATTGCATGAAATATGTTCAAATAAGCCCAGGAAAAAACAGAAACAATTTCGGTTTTTTTCTCATCTCTCCGGATGTCTTCGGAATGTTTCGAATTCCGAAGCGGCATTTCGTTGAGCAAGAAATTATGCAGCTTTGCCTTCATTTAGGTCGGTCTCGTATCTCTGACCGTTTCTGAGATCCCAACGGAGAACATCGAATTTGAATCACCCTATATATAATATTTTCCCTATTTCAGGTGTATGATTTTTTTATATTTTATCATAAAATTCTATAGTCTAGGAGGAGGGGCCTCTCCACACCCCCCCCCCCCCTTCCCTCACTGGGTACGACCTTGTGCAGATTATGCAGGAGTGATGACCAACGTTTCCAGAAATATTGTAACATTTCCTGGATCTCCTGATATTTAGTTTATCTCGAGGTTAATCTATTCATTGTCGCGTCATTCAAACACTCTTCTGGTGAGGCTGTCATTGGTGCGCCGATTAAAAAATGTCCGGGGGTTAGGGCATTAAGGTCATTTGGGTCTACGGAAAGGACTTGTCGGACGTGAGTTGAGAATGGCTTCGATTTGGGATAAAATGGTATGAAGATTCTCCTATGCAAGATTATGTTCATGATAATTTACACTTTTTACCGCAGACTCCCATAATCCAATGAAATTTGGTGCACGAGGTGGAATGAAATGCCATTCGGTGTGATTTTCAATTAATTTTTTTTTAATGTTTGATCAGTATGAAAAGATTCTAAATATTGTTGAACATCAGTGATGTGATATAATTATAAGCTCCAACAAAGTTAGATCCATTGTCCGAAAATACTTCTTTGCATATTCCTCTTCTAGCTATAAATCTTTTCGAGGCATTCAAGAAAGAATTCTTGGACAAGTCTCCCACCAATTCTAAATGTAATGCCCTGCCTTGGTTGAAAAGCATACAAAGACGCAAATGTATGCCTCAACCAGTTTTCTTGTTCTGAAAGAATTATCTTCAACTGATATTGGCCCTGCAAAATCAATGCCTGTGCATGAAAATGACGGGAGGGATTGACTCTGACAAATGGCAACTGACCCATAATTGGTTTATTTGTTGAACCTGGACTACATTTAAAACAAAGTACGCATTTTCTAATGATTTAACTAATTGTACTTTTGGCATCTAAAATCCAAATTTTTTTCTCTCAAACTATTTAATACTGTTTGGACTCCACCGTGAAAAGTTTTGTGATGTTCTTGCCTAATAATGAACTCCGATATAAAATGTTTATTTGCCAATAAAGTTTGATTCCTTTGATCTATTCATTATTAGCATCTGTGCATTTCTTACTCTTCCCCCAACCCGTAAGATATTGTTGTCTATGTAAGAACTTAAAGATAAAAGTGTACCTACTGTGCTTTGAAACAAAGGCCCTTCGTTTTGAGTTCTTGAAATTCTTTAGGAAAATAATCTTGTTTGTTGAACTAGTTTACTAATATGTACCTTAATATGAATTGAATTATCTATTTCTACCATTGTTAAAGGACCTGAACTTCGCATTTTTCAGTTTTGGAACTTTGATAAATCTAAGGCACTACGCAGCAACGTTTACTAATGTGCGAAATTGAGAGTATTTCTACAATGTAGTGAACTCACTTCGTCTGCTGTGCAGTGAAATACTTAAAGCCGTATTCCACCAACGACATTTAAACTGTTATGGGTC